ATGCTCTCTCTTCCAAGCACTCTGTATGGCCAATCGCTGAAGGTAGTTATTAATGGCCAGTCCTCCGAGAGCCTGGTGATCAACTCCGGCGCCCTCCAGGGGTGACTTCTCGAAACAGCCCTCTTTCTGATTTACATAAATTAACCCGCCAGTTATCTGGTGTACGCATGAAAAATAGATGAATAATAATGATTATGATAATAATAATAATAATAATAATAATAATAATAATTGCCATAACAAATGTCAAGCAATTTTTAACAAAATCCCCAGAATGGAAATCTCCAGGAAATAAAGTACCCAACTTTTGGCTCTATCAGACTCTTGCACAAACTTTAGCAATGCTAATAACCCGAATGAAATTACAGAAAGGATTAGTGAATGTATTACATATCTTCTACCAAAAACGGGTAAAACGTAATCTATCTATCTATCTATCTATCTATCTATCTATCTATCTATCTATCTATCTAGCATTTCTTTCGTTTCATATCTGCCTATGACTGTCTGTCTGTATGTCTGTATCTATCTATCTATCTATCTATCTATCTATCTATCTATCTGTTTTGTTTACCGGCAAAAAACGAAATATATTCTTTTACATATTTGCCTTCACTCATCTATTCACTGTCTCATTTCAAGTACGTGCATATGCCCCAAGATAACCCCAATGAAATTCCAGAAAGGATCAGTGAATGTTTTACACATCTCCCACCAAAAGCGGGTGAAATAGATGATCCAAAGAATTATAGGTTTGACCACCGCATATATATTGATCACGTCTGTCCTGATAAACTATACTTATTCTTTTTTCGCTGAAAACAACATTCTTCTTCTGGTACAGAAAGAATGTCGAAGAGGTTCGTATGGTTGAACTACTAATAAATAATTACTATTAAATATTAAACTAGTAATAAATAAAGTGATACTGGAAAATTGCAGGAAAAAATGTTAGAAGCCTCAGCACAGCTTGGATAGAATACCGTAAAGTCTGGGATAGTTTGTCACACCCTTGAATCATTGATGGCTTGGAAATGTATAATGTCTCCTCGGTAGTAGTAAATTTCATTAAAATATAGTATGAATGTTCGAGAAATTGCATTATACCTAAATTAAACCAAAGGCATTGCCCTTTCCAATTTTTTTTCTGAATACTCGACCAGTGCGTTATGGTGTAAAGGGATTTTGGATCGGACAACCGAGTTCGAATTCTAGACGGGTTCGTTATATTCACTTACGCACAATTACCTTTGGGAAAGGTAAGAATCCATCTCTTCTCCTCCCAGGTATGGGTTGAATAACAGGACAAACTGGGTTCTTTAGCCTTGGTTGGCAACCAGTCTACTGCAGAAGGAATTGGCAAACTACTGCCTCGTCATTTATGTATTGAAAGGTACATGATCTCCCAAACGCGTATCACGTATGACACTTAACTAACTGATCTTTCAAGGAGACTGTCTGTCGCCACCCATATCCTGCCTGTCCATAATCCCCCTTTCACATGAACTTTGAAGGTTATACACAATTTTTTCATAACTTTCCAGCATATGGCGCACATTTGGCTAAACAATATGATATACAAGATCAGACCGTGGACAATATATATATATATATATATATATAGATATATATATATATATATAGTTTATGGAAAAATTAGGTAATCCGTATGGGTAAACCTAAGGAGGATAACATCCAGAGAGCTCAATGTAAATCCAGAGCAAATAATTTAAATAAAAACAGACAACTTTAAGGTTCCATGTAATAAATTATTTCCCCACAGCCCCTTTAAAGGACTGCGGATCATCATAATAACAAATAAAATAACAGCGTCTGTTTCTAGGATTTTTTTCAAAAATTTCAAAATTAGTGACACCTTCTCTCATAACTTCCTTCTCTCTTTTTCTCTCTATGGGTTTTTTCTTCTCTACCCCTTCGATATCAATATATAACTTCCGTTAAGTTAACCGTTTAAATGTGTCAATATCTGCTAACTCACTCCTGTCTTCACTCTCTCCCCACTCACTTCCTCACTTCGTTAATTTACATATGTTTAATACGGCCCGTCAAAAATGTGTAAATTTTTCTTTTCATTTTTTTTTGAAGTAAAGTCTGATGATCCGCAGTCCTTTAAAATGGCTGTGGTGAAATAATTTATTACATGGAACCTTAAAGTGGTCGATTTTTATTTAATATATATATATATATATATATATATATATAGTGTGATTAAAGTGCTGCTGCTGCTTTTTCTTCTTCACCAACACGTCCTCCTCCTCTTTTTTTTTATTACACGTAACGTCGTGCGTTTGTTTATTTATTTATTAGAAAATAATATAGCGGTCGTAAATTTTTTCAAAAAAAATAAAGCTTTAAGAAATCATTTGATAAAAGTCGCTTGAGGATGCCGTAAGGTTAAAACCAAGGTAGCAGATTCAACTGACCTGATTTTTAAAGTTATATATATATATAATTCAAGATTGATACATGTTTCGGGACT